ATTTGAAATGGTCGGTGAATTAGGCGTTATCACGTTTAAAACGCTTTTGAAACGAAGAGAAGTGTTTTTTAGCTAGAGAATATTGCAGTGAGCGGAAGAAGTGATCATTATTTGGAAGGGTGAGTGAATTAAGCGTTCTCAGGTCTATTCCTCGATTTTTTGGAGCGTTCGACGTGGAATATGTGGACGAGGGTTGCCTTGTTGCGTGATAATCTGTTTTTGTGAGAAGCGTATAGCGGATTTTTTCGCGGTTTTGTCGAAATCGACGCTATGAGATATCTGAGATATCTCGCAACACTTTGGAAGAGATATTCCGCGACGCTTCGGAAGAGGTATCTCGCGAAACTTTGGACAAGATATCTCGCGAATTAGTGTGATTCATGCGGCGCTTTGAACGAGATATCTCGCGACGCTTTGGACAAAATATGTCGCGACGTTTTGGGCGAAATATGTCGCGACGTTTTAGGCGAAATATCTCGCGAATCAGTGTAGTTCATGCGACGCTTTGGACGAGATATCTCACGACGCTTTAGGCGAAATATCTCGCGACGCTTTGGACGAAATATCTCGCGACGTTTTAGGCGAAATATCTCGCTACTTAGTGTCCTTCATGCGACGCTTTGGACGAGATATCTCGCGACGCTTTGGACGAAATATGTCGCGACGTTTTAGGCGAAATATCTCGCGAATCAGTGTAGTTCATGCGACGCTTTGGACGAGATATCTCGCGACGCTTTGGACGAAATATGTCGCGACGTTTTAGGCGAAATATCTCGCGAATCAGTGTCCTTCATGCGACGCTTTGGACGAGATATCTCGCGACGCTTTGGACGAAATATCTCGCGACGTTTTAGGCGAAATATCTCGCTACTTAGTGTCCTTCATGCGACGCTTTGGACGAGATATCTCGCGACGCTTTGGACGAAATATCTCGCGACGTTTTAGGCGAAATATCTCGCTACTTAGTGTCCTTCATGCGACGCTTTGGACGAGATATCTCGCTACGCTTTACGCGAAATATCTCGCGACGATTTGGAGGAGATATCTCGCAAGGTTTTAGGCGAAATATCTCGCGACGCTTTGGAAAGATATCTCGCGACTCTTTAAAAGAAATATCTCCCAACGCTCTGAACGAGAAATTTCACAAATCTTCTCATTAGAAAGAAAAGCTTCGAATTAACGTCGTCACGTCGCGAAATATGTATCTCGTCGGCGAACGCAAAATGGTTAAAAAAAGAAACGACAAAATTTAATTACCAATCTAATATATAGCCCAGCAAACTTTTCGTATCTACATAATAAAATATCGAAACTAATAAATTGATGCTTCACGGTGAACACACTAATCCACGTGCAACAGTGAAATAATCCTACACGAGGAGATCCCGTTTTCCACCGCGTCGCGATATGAAATATAGAGAGATCGTAGTATGCACGTTCAATCACGATATCGTATCTACTTAAATTGAGATATTCGAGGAAACACCGGGGGGGTTTGATTACACAATTTTCTCATCGATACAGGAAAATTTAGTTACCGGTTGATGAATCCATCGATAAAAAGAATTATATCAAAAATATCCCATATGTAACGACCTCCTAAACTTCATCGCAAAGTCACGATTTTACTATTATAATACAAGTACATTGCCATCGAATGGCCAGTAAAATTTCGAAGTAACAGCGAGAACTTTGAACAACTGTTTTAAACTTCAAGCAGAGAAAGAGAGAGAGAGGGGGGAAATTAGCAGTTTTATCGGAACGTACGATTATTCCCCGAAGAGAGGACGAATTAAATTCGCGAGACGACTTCATCGATTTTTAAAACAGAGCAGAGTATATCGGAGAGCGGCGGCGAACGAACTCTGAAATTTAATTTGGCCTGGAATTACGCGAAGAGGGTGGAACGATCCGCATCGGCGATATTTGATGCGTCATAAAGACGTGTACGAATCGACCGGATTGCAAGGGAAACTTGCTGAAGGGAGAGAAAAAGGATGAAAAAAGGGAATAGGAGCTTCTTTGAACCTGTATTACTTGACATTCTCTTCGCGCTCAGGTTGAAGTTTCGAACGGGGAGGGTTCGAACAGTGGAAAGAAAAGAGGAGGAGGAGGAGATACGAATGGAAAAAGTTTTGATGAGTAGGAAGCTCCGATGTCCGGTGCCACAAAGAATTAATGATCAAGCCGCGAAGCGTAATTTATCTCAATTAAGTAAAACTTGTTAGTGAGCCGACCGACGTCAGGTGCATTAAGTAATTATAACGAGGAGACTGCAAGCTTGGAAAAATTGCGAACAAACTTTTTTCCGGCAAGCGTGAGAATTTCTCTTCTCTTCTTGTTTTTTTTTTTTCTACCGATGGGAAAATGCTTGTCGACAAATTACATTAAATTAAAATCTGTTCCTCGAGAAGAAGACTCTCTCGATTTATCTTCTCCTCTCTTGGACAAGAAAG